AGGTATTCTTGTAGTAATTCTAATTTTAGATATCGCGCGACGGTGAAGAAATACTAGGTCCCGCGATGAGGGAGTCTACGGCGGATGCGAGGCAGCAGTAGAATGAGTGAGACGCAGACATTGCCCATGAAGCAGATCCCGAGTCGTACTCCCGGCGAGCTTCGGAACTACAGCAACTCTGGGCGTTAAGCGTCCGTAGGGCGTTCGTTACAACTACTTTGGGCCTTTTATTGATAACTAATTCTTCCACCCACACCAGAACGAGGAACGTGCCTGAAGACGCGTCACCCCTTTTACAGAAATCCACATTTGGGTTGTAAGACGACCCAGAAACCGATAAAAGGTACGGGTTCATAGAGAGCGATAGAGATGAAATTCGAGTGCTAATGACGCAGAAGAGTATGCACTGGAAAATCTGGGATATAGTTTCGAGACATCCCAGAAACAGGAAAAATGAGTGAACACGAGCACTTTATCCACATTTTCCTGATGACATTCCCAACTGGAGAACTGATCATAGCAATCACCGGTATCCGCTCTTGTCAACGAAAACCACCAAACCACTCAAGGAACTCTGCCCAGGCTGCAAAATCGACGGTATCCGTTTCAATTAGAGTAGCCATTTAGTTGTTCCTAGCTATAAAAAATAACGCAAACCAGCAAAAGAGCCTAACCTAAGTGTCCTAGAAATCAGGTTGTAGCACATGCTAGACCGAATATTGTTTCCAAAATTTTTTTACGAAATGCTCAAGCTGATCAATTTTAGATGATAGCCAGTGCCAACTGAAAGCCTGGCTATACAGCGGCAAACAAATAGCTCAACTATGTGCTGGGAAAGAAGTAATCAAGGACGACAAGGGTTCCCTCTAGTGGTTTCATCCAAGGATGTGACCGAAAAAGAGATGAACGCCTTGTGCGCGAATGCGGTTTACATGGAAATCTGTATATCCATTATGGATTCAAATTTCAAGAGTTTACGTTGCCCGCGGCTAAAAGAAATTAGACCCTGCCAGCCAGGTACTGGTATTAATTGTTCGTTTACCCAAACACATTCAACTCCAATTCCTTTCAGGACAACCAGCTCTGGTCATTGAAGACAATGTACTGTTCCAAGAACTGGTGATTATGGACACTATTATCTTCCCTGAAAACGATCTTATCTTCCAAATCACAGGAAATCCAAATCTACCTATAACAGTCATAAATAAGCTGAAACATAAGTGCGAACATTGCCTGATAACAGCAAACTTAGGTACTCCATTTTCAAGCTCAAACTGATCTACGGGAAATGATCTAGTGCTAAATTTAGCAACTTACTCAGAAGATTCTCTGGATTTTTAGACTGTGGCCTGCAAGGTGCACCTCACCATCAATTCAACAACTGATCACTGCTTGTGCGGGAAAGAAAATCATCCGTCCATCTGAGGGACACATCATCCAGTTCCATTCATCCCAGGTTACTGAAGCACAAATGAATGCGATTTGCTCGCAAGCCATCTTCATGGAGGTCTGTATCGATATCTCCATGTCGCAGTACAAAGCATTCCGATGCCCGTATCTGAAGGAGTGAAGCCTTGTCATCCAGGTAATGTCCTGCAGGTCAATATCGGTTAGTTTTGGAAGGCTCCAGTTTTTTTTTTCAGGACGGCCAGCTATTCGCATTATTAACAACCTCCTACTCAAAATACTCGAATTCAATACGTTCATATTCCCAACTGGAGAACTGATCATAGAAATCACCGGTAATCCGCTATTGCCAAATGCGGCCGTCAATCCACTCAAGAAACTCTGCCCAGGCTGCAAAATCAACGGTATCAATTTAAAAATCAACAGCAGCTAATTATTCGAAAGTGTCGCTAAAGATGACTTCTACGCCTTACGCTCCATACCCAGTCAAGGTTACCTATCGACCACCACTGCGCCCCACCTGCGCAACCCGGATGAAGAGCGCAACAAAATTCCGGAGGCACAGGGGCATCAGCCGGTAGCTCAACCTACCTATAGTGACCGGCTGATTTACCTCAGGGGGCAGTCCTGTTGCACGTGATACATACAACTACTTCCAGATGAGAACTAGTGTAAAACCACATGAATATACAACACAACGATACAAAATAATTATACATATCTGTAAACGTGTTAATTCACCGCTTCCCACCTCCCTGGGTCACCTCTATCAAGTCACTGTCTCCTCCACTAGGTGGCTTACGTGGTGAGCACCACGTGCAGTGGAGATGTTCTTCGGTACTCCATACGACCGACATGCACTAGTCGTAACCGTGTAAGACTGCTCTCACAGGAGCACAGAGGGACACGGCCGGCTTCGAAAGGCAGGCGTTACGCCAACTTGGGCTCGACGTTCCCTTTCGTCTTGGACTAGCTTTCCTCAATCTGCCACCTGAACATGTGAACAGCCACCTCCCACCGGCAAGCAGTTCCTAAAGGCACCGACTAGCGATCCGTGGCAAAAAGGCAACCGACTGGTGGCTTCGACGTCGGGGGCGTGGTGCATGGCGCGACACCACATACTGCCTTCCAAGCGCGAGTGGGCCGTCGCGCACGGTGCACCCAGCGGCAACCGTCGCATCCGACACAAGAAGCTACCCATTTAATACACGCTCACAAACGCATTTCTAGTGTACATACCTCTCCTTTTTCATCCCATCTTCAATCCAGAAGTCCACATATCCCGGAAACCAGATCTAGCATATGACAGGATGAACGGCAGAAACAGACTTTTCCTGGCTCGCTTTGCTAGCAGATCGAATTTGCATTTGGGACCTGATTAACCTCTCACGTGTGAGTTTCAAAAAGCACATCCATCATCCAGAAGCACCAGTGAGCAAGGGTATCGACTGGATCAGATCCTAACGGCTTGTTGCATAATTTCTCGGTTACGTCAACTTCGATCGGTACTAATTCCACTTTGGTCAACGTGCGGAACTTCTAACTTCACATGCCGCCACTCGAAATTCCTATATTGCAATACTACCATGTATATCATCAACCACTAATTTGGGTCTCAGAGACACGTAGGACTTTCCTTCAAGTGGTTAACTGGTCATGACAACGGAATAACGGGGTGCACATGTGCAGAAACGTTCCCAGCGCAATTTCATGGAGGACGGGAGAAATTAGCCCGAGTTTGGGAAGCTTCTAGATAATGAAGCGCTGATCGGCCAGACATGCCATCCTTTTACACGGCAATAACCAACGAAGAAGTTTTGCAAGGTGCGCAAAAAAATGGGGTCAAAAAATGTAGATCTAGGGTTGCGAGGGGTACTATAGAGAATGGCTCTGCGCACTCGGCAAGTGATGGGGTCAAACTAAACGGGAACCAACAACTGACAACGAACTTCAAGTTCATTACGAATGCGGTTCACAAGCGTAATCCTAGCCATGGATCGGTGTGTCATCCTCATCGAACTAGGAAAACCCCGACCTGCCGTCAGCCCCAACAGCTGATTCCGGATGTGACTGTCGTTTTGCGCGTAAGCACGGGGCTTAGTTGGGCCCTGACAGTAAATCGGGCTCATTTGACTGTAGAGTCTATTGGTCGGTATTTCCACGGTATTCTACAAATTTATTCATCGAAAGACGATCTAAATAAACTCATGCTTGTGACTCGAGTCTGAATCGATCTTTGCCGATTAGCACAATGTTATTTGTATAGAAAAGAGTTCATCAAGATGCTACTGAGATTAGCACGATGCACCTCTTCTTGTTTTTTGGTGGTGTATTTCGAGACTACCGACCGCATTTGCCCTACAAAATTGTCAAAAGATTGGATTTCCCAGCAAGGCGATGTATGGAGTCATGGATCGAGTTTGAAATGCAGCAAATCGATGGACATCCATTCCGTGCCAGTAGATTAGCTTTCTATGGGCAGTGGGTTTGTTCAATAGCATACACTGAGGCTGATGGAACATACAAATAAATCAGTTTGGCTGGATCGTGGAACGGAGTTCTGGGAGGTACGACGACATTCCTAAAGATGTCATTGGGCAGAAGTCGGAACTCATAGCGCTCTTTTTTATGAGATGGCGGACATAATAAGTAAATTCTAACAGTTGTCGGGTGGGATATAGTCAAACTTGGCTAGGATCCACCACAGGTCATTTACGTGGTTGAAAATGACCGACTACTAACGATTAGTCACAGCAATTCTCACCCACCCTTTACATTGTGAGCGATATTCCTCATGAAACATTTACAGTCATTATTGCAGGAGAGAACCAATGCAAACTGGAAGCCAGGTTCTACAGTGGCAGTGAGGTGGCTAGTACTTGCGCCGGTAAACAGATAATCAAAGGACAAAAAGGATTCCCTCTAGTGGTTTCATCCAAGGATGTGACCGAAAAGCAGATGAATGCCTTGTGCGCGAATGCGGTCTACATGGAGATCTGTATTACCATTATGAATTCAAACTTCACGAGTTTGCGTTGTCCTCATTTGAAAGAAATCAGGCCGTGCCAACCAGGTATGTCACTAGCTGCTCGATTCATGAATGCAATCCTATTCTAACTTTCTACTCCTTAGGCAGGTACGACCGGCGATAAAAATTATTGTTGATTGAAACATCCGCAGGTTCCAAGAATTGTGTCATCATGGACACAATTATTCCTGTGGCGCCTCAGTACCGAATATCTTATTCTTCGAACAGCGTACTAGGGAAAATGCCAATATCGCCTATAACCAGTCCTACCATAATACGCTGACTACAATTGCAGTTCTAGAGCACGTTTTGCAAAATAACATCCGCAGCCAACGTTCAGGAATATAATGCCCAGCTTTTGCAGCATGTCACTCAGATTACGAGATACATGCGTCCTGGGCTGACTTTGCGAATGCCAGAAGATTGTATTGGTTTTTAGACTGTGGCCTGCAAGGCACGTACACAAATCAACAACTGGTCGCTGCTTGTGCGGGAAAGAAATATCATTCCGCCCACGAGGGGCACAAGATCCAATTCACTTCGCCCAAAGGTTACTCAATCACAAATGAATGCAATTTGCTCGCAAGCCATCTTCATGGAGGTCTGTATCGATATCATGAATTCGCAGTACACAGCATTACAATGCCCGTATCTGATGGAGTTGAAGTCTTGTCAGCCAGGTAATGGCCCAAATGGACAATACCGATCATCCTTGGAACGCTTCAGACGGTTTTTTTTTTCAGGACGGCCAGCTATTCGCATTGTTAACAACTTCGAATTTGAAACGCTTATTATTCCTTGGCAATTCATATTCCCAGTTGGAGAATTGATCATCGAAATCAGCGATAACCCACGGCTGCCAAATACTATCATCGATAAGCTCAAAATACTCTGTCCTGGTTGCAAAATCACTGCTAATCTCGGTAATTCTTCATACTCAACGCTTTTTCTCGCCTAATTACAGTGCATTGCGTTCCACTGTTTCTCCAAGTCCTACTCCATACTTACCCAGTAGCACCATAATCCACAGACAAATCCCTCGATAAGCCTTTCCTGCATGGCGGACTTAAAGATGCTACAAAAAAAAAATAAAAAGATGCTACATATCCTTCTATCTCAGCTGCAATTTTCTCTTAGGAAACCTTGACGCTCAAAGCATGCTGCCACTCTACCCTGCCTCTGCCAGCAGCCCAAGCCTGCTATAAGTCCGCATTCTGTAAGAAACATGGATAATCTAGTGAAACTATCAATTTGTACGCCACCAAGACTGTGGAGATACCGGAGTCACCGAAACGCTGTTCCAGTGGTTTAAGGAGGGGAGCGCTGTAGTACTCTCAAGCGTGGAGGTGGTCATGCTTCCTGCCCACAGTGACTTCTAATATCGGGTACTCGACCGGAGGCCCGTCGCGCGGCAGAAGGCAAAGTCAGCGGACGAATCGCAGCGTGTGTGTGCCCTGTAGGACGGACAATGCCACCCTCCCCTTCAAAAAGCGAGAAAGTGTCGGGTGCAGACCATGCACCACAAGTGACGACGGCCTTCACAAAATGTTAATGTTTTCTGCCAATGAAATGATTAGCCTGTTGCAGTTGTATTCTATCGATTGTCACTAATTACAACTATCATTTACCAGAAATCAGCTATCACTATGAACAACTTCTAACCAGATTTACTTGGAGGCCGTCGTCAGTTGTGGTGTTTGCTCTGCACCCGACTCTTTCTCGCTTTTCGAAGGGGAGGTTACATTCTATTTGACTTGACGCGAGTTCACTACAGTACGCGCTGCGAATCGTCCGCTGACTCTGCCTTCTTGCCGCGCGACGGGCCTTCTGTCCGGTACCTTCTAATACCTATAAAGCAACGTGCTCTGAGGTCTTTGAAAATTTAACGCGTGTTTCGTTTGTGAGCCAATCATTAGCCTAAATCGAAACTGCGAGTCATTTGGCCTAAAGTGACCGATACCACTAGTCCACGGAAATTTATCGTGAACTACAGACTGTCGATTTACCTAGGCTACCTTTCAAAAAACGCTATGACGTTGAAGGCCTTCCCTGGTTAAACAGACGAGGGCACCATGTGCACCGCTTACCTAACTCGGTCCACAGAGAGTAACGGCGTGTAGCGTCAATAAACCTTTAGTATGAACCATGGACTTGCCATCTCGTACTCTATGAACTCTATACATATCACTATACACTTGACGCGACCACTGCCCAATACCACAGCGCTTAAAGTGACAGAATGTGGCTGATAACTGACAAACCAATGACCAAAATTTCGATGTCAATATGGTCAACATAACAATCTATTAATTACAGGTTGCGGTCTCCAGAAGCGAACCTATTCCGACAATGAACTTGTTGACGCGTGCGCAGGAAAGTCGATCATAAAGCCAGCGCAAGGATACATTTTGACACTACACAGCCATTCCGTGACCGAAGTGCAGCTGAACGCACTGTGCTCAAAAGCTGTCTACATGGAAATTTGCATCACCATTTATCATTCGCAATACACACAACTACGCTGCCCATATCTGCGTGAACTCAGACCGTGCCTCCCCGGTAGGTCGCCCACAAACTTCACTCCTTCGCAGATTCAAAAGATTTTCCTGTTCAGGAGTACCAGCCATCAATGTCACCAGCAATAGCAGATTCCAAAACCTGCTTCATTCCACCCAATACAATCTATCCCGAGGGCAGTCTCATTATTGAAGTCATTGAGAACCCAATGATTCCACTTACTGAAATCAAATCACTCAAAAATTGGTGCAAACAGTGTATCATTCTTCCAGATCGTCCACAAGGTAGGAAAAGCCGCGATTGTGCTACGTGGTGTGCTACATTTGATGAAACATCTCGACATTACTCCTTTAGGTTTAAAGAAATGTGTATTGGAAGAACGTGGATACAATGGTACGGAGTTGGTTAGCACCTGTGCCGGTAAAGAGCACATCCAGCCGCACAAAGGTTTCCCTGTATACGTAAGATCCTCGGAAGTAACTGAGAAGCAGATGAACGATTTGTGCTCGAACGCCGTTTATATGGAGATCTGCATATCGATAGTCGCCTCAGAATACACGAGACTACGCTGCCCTCGTCTACGAGAACTTCGGCCATGTCTCCCAGGTACAACTTCTTACAAATGATCCTTTTCATGAAGACCATCATCTGAAAACGAATTCGTTCAGGACGACCAGCTATCCAGATTAAGAACAACTTGAAGTTCAGAGAGTTCCTCATTCCTGTCACAGTGATCTACCCTCAACACGAGCTGATCTACGAAATTACGGAAAACCCCGTCCTGGACATAACGATCATCACATGGCTCAAGAAGAAGTGTGAACGCTGCCTGGTGACGGCCAATCTCGGTCAGTCAAACGAAAGCCTAAAGAAAACACGATGAAAACGCCATACTCCATTCTGGTTTTCAGGATGTGATCTGCAGAAGCGAACATACAGTAATAAGGAACTGGTCGCTGCTTGTGCAGGAAAGAAGATCATTCGTCCAGCTCAGGGGTACATAATAAAGCTCTACTCATCATCAACCACTGAACAAGAGATGAATGCACTCTGTTCGCAAGCCGTATTCATGGAAATCTGTATCGACATCACAAACTCGCAATACAGGACTTTACGCTGCCCCTATTTGAAGGAACTGAGACCTTGCCTACCAGGTCGGTTTTAAGTAGATAACTAGTCAAACGTTTCTTCAAACACTTTTTTTCAGGAGGAACAGCTATACGAATTGTCGACAACTTCCTACTGGAGACGCTTATTATTCCTTGGCAATTTATCTACCCGAAAGGAGATAAGATCCTTGAAATCAGCAACAATCCACGACTTTCTATTACAATCATCGAAAAACTCAAGATACTTTGCCCAGGTTGCCTAATCACTGCAAATCTAGGTAACTATTCACATCTTCTTATCACTTTAGTCTAATCCCTTCATTGCACTATAGTCCTCAATCATTCTTGAGGTGGCACCTCCAAAACCCACACATTGAAAAGAGTTACGTGTCTAATTGGGCTTTCCTCCATCTTCTCTGCCGCGGAAGGCAGAGGGCAGACAGGTAGACGACGACCGCAGTTTCAGCTTCGAACGCTACCAGCACAAGAACCACGGGGGAAGAAGGGAACCACGATGTGAGGGTTGAGTCACATGACGAGGGCTTTAACGTCCCTAATAAGCATTTTACTGTGCCATAAAGCGCAGGTTGCTGTAGTGTGATCTTTAGCGGGGATGTTAAGTGGAATGCAGTGCCACTACTTAAAGGAGGATTGCACGGAAAGAACGAAGGTCGAAGAAGGGAGAAATCGCCTAGTTGGGGAGAGCGGCGGACCTCCTGAGGGTGCGGACTGACGCGCAATTCGGCATCGAAAGATTTGACCTCGGCGACCTAGCATGGCTCAAAGTTGGCGGTTCGGCGATCTCCGCCCACCGATCATCTGATCACTCGCCGTAGTCAATACGTGGCGAGTGATTAGATAGCTGAGAGAGCGTAGTGTTGAAGAGGGCACAGCGATGAGAGTCGCATCAATGCTCAAATCAACGGGCAAGGAAGGGGTCCCATTTCTCGGGTTCTGGGCCGTTTCTCATGGTTTTCCTTCTTTCGTGTACCACTCACCATCCCTAGGTTAATTTGAAATGGGTTGCTTTTTCATCGTGAATTCGTCCTTTAAGTCAATTTGGTCGTGAGCCAGAGTTGGATATTTCGATACGTCCTGGTACGACGGCAAAACATTAAAAGGCAAGAGGGGTTCGGTGGTGAGCAATTCCTAGGCCTTCGAACATATTAAGGCCTTTGAGTACCATTAAGTTCGATATTTAGCCCGAAAAAATGAAGTCACTTTTTGATGAAGGGTCACTGCACGTGCTGAACGACATTTTATGAAAAATCGATAAAACCAAACATACATATACACAATCGGAATAGGGATCGATTCAAGCATAGGTATGAGTTCGCATAGGCCACACGTAAGTCGAAGGTACTCATGACAGCCTACTTTAGTAGCCTTATGATCGCAGTGCGATAGGAGAGGGGAGCTAGCGGTCCGCAACCCATTAGGCTCTATGGCGCAGTGACTGTTGGCGCCGTTGTGGCCAACACGCCGCTGGTTCAGTGCCGTCATTCGGCCGCGTTCGTTGATGAAAGAGCTTCTTCCACCGAGATATCTGATCTTAGTGATTACCAATCATGCAACACCAACTGAGAACGTAATTACCTTTTGTAGGGCGGTCAATTCTTCTTTGAGGGTTCGCAATGGGACCTGAGAGCTTTAACTCATCAATACTCGCGTCAACCTTATAATTCTGCTTGTTTTGTTCTGTGTAATTTCGAAGTTCTAGGATCCAGTTGAGAAATGTAAGGCGATGACATAAATATGCACAGGGTCTGAAAATACATAGACTGATGAAGTAGAAGTCCATATCGGAGTTTGGACCATTGCATAGGAATTAGACAGTTAGTCGACGCAAATTGAGCGAGTAAAATCAGTGCCACCAAATTTCATAAGTTCGTATAGAAATTGTTGTAGGTTTTCATTGTAGCAACTGTTTTGTTACGATAACTACTACGTACTGAAACAAAAAATCAGTCATTAGGTTGTCCAATAAATAGTGTCATACTTTCCAATGGAAATTTTCCTCTGAATTTCTCTTGAACCCTTATGCAATGGTGAACTGACTGTTTACGCCTTGAAAAGTGGCGAGTTCCGAAAGATGGACAAAGTAGCCAAGAGGCCGGCGAATACTACAACTTCTTTTCTCGTAAAAGAAAATTGACTGATGATCTGGGGAGGTGAGGAGGTAAGCAAACCAGCCCTTTTGGCGTTTCGGCTGGGACCGTATGCTGAATGTTGGGGAGGGGATGGGGTCCCCAACGGTCGACGGTTTACTTCAACTCGGTTGGTACGATAGGAGAGTACTGACGCAAGTGGTGCAGCTGGTCCAGCAGCTCCGCCAGAAGGGCTGGTTTGCTCACCCCAGGACTAAGCCTTGGAGAGGGGACGGACCCGTCTTCTCTT